CCTTGGTGAAGCCACACTGACAACTCTAGATGCTTATCTCATCCTTCCTGTGCCTGGAAATGGTTTCCAGGATTAGTTGCTCCACCACCTTCTTTTGGGAAGTCCTGCTGGCCCCACAACTGCTGCTCCACAGCATTCCTTCAGCAGCCAGTAGACCGGGGGCAGCGGGGTGGGCAGGGGTGCAGCAGGAGACAGACCGGGGGAGGGGGGAGGAGCTTCTGGACCACAGCGAATGTCCCCTCCCCTGGGCCCACGGCTGCCCCGGGGGCCATCACTTGGGTAATGTCCCCATGGCCACATCTGTTGAGATTAGATATGCCGGATGCCAGCCTGTAACAGTCATCTGATAACACCTCCCCTTGAGGAGGAAGGACCTCCCACCCGGCTTGTGCAACGACCACGGGTCTTGCAACACGCAAACCACCCAAAACGGCAGGTTTCCACCCCAAAACCCCTCACTCCTACGGGTGGTTGCTTTTTGAAGGCATCTCTTGGACGTTGCTGCGTGTCCTCTGTACAGCTTGCCATGGCCGTCTACAAGGTGAAGGTGGCCACAGGTGACATCCTCAAAGCTGGGACCAACAACTCCATCTCCATCACCTTGGTGGGCAGCCGTGGCGAGAGCCAACAGACAACCATCAAGCACCGGTTCATGCCAGGGAAGGTGAGTGTGGGGATGGGGATGGGGACACGAGCGGTGGCATGGGCTGTGCCAGGGGTTTTGGCAGAGGGTAGGAAAAGGTCTGGGTCATCTCCAAGGTTTGGGGGGGATGGTGGGAAGGGGGCTTGAGGGGATGGAGGAAAGCGGTCTGGGAGGGATGGAGGAAGAGTATCCTTGGGTGACACTCTGAGCCCCCACTCTGCTGGTGGGACACCTGTATTCCCTGGTGGCACACCGGGGCAGCTGTCCTCCCCTGCTGCAAGCTGTTCTCCCCCTGCCCAGGAGAAGGATCTGACCGTGCGCTGCGAGCAGGACTTGGGTCCCATCGTCCTCATCCGCCTGCACAAGTGGCGGGTCTTCTTGGAGGATGCCTGGCTGTTGAACCATGT